GCCGGTTGGAGCCCGCGGGGCAGACTTGCGGCGCGCTCACTGACCCCGGCTCATTTCGCTTCCCGACTGCCATGGAGCGGCTGACGCTGCCCCCCGGCGGCGCGGCGGCGGTGGACGAGTACCTGCAGTACCGGAGGTGAGGGTGGCGGGGACCGCGGCTTCGAGCCTGCTTTCCCGGGCTCCCTCCGCAAACCCGCTGGCGCGGGCCGGGACCTGGCGGAGAGAGGGCTGCGGCTCTGGCAATCCGTTCCGGGCTTTTGAGGGAGGCCTAGGTTAATGTGGCGTTTCCTCTTGGAACGAGTCTCTTCCGAGGCCTCTTAAGAGGTCTCTCCTTGCGGGAGGGATTATTAACCCCAGATGGAAGGCAGGGTCCAATCCCCGCTGCCCCAAAGAGCCATCGCAGAATTACACCGTGAGCGCAGGGCCCCGGAAGCGAGTGGATGCCGAGTTCGCGGTTAATCGCGGTAAGGCGAGTGGTGAGCCGCTGACCGTGCTCCCGGTGCCGCGGCGCTGCTCTAGGAAAAAGCCGGGCCGGGGCTTTCGCTGGTGGTGGAGACTCCTCTCCCGAGCCCGGGACGCAGCCTGTCGTTTGGGCTGAGGACTTGGTTCCTCATCCCAGGCTTGACGAAGGCTCATGCACCTGCCTGGAAGTGCTTTTGTTTTGCTTTTTCCTGTCTCCCCGTCTCCTAGGAAAGAGTTTTGACAGTTGGTAAGTGGCGCCTGGGACTCACAGGAGAAGGCTGGCCGGAGGATGTGTGTGTGCAGACGTAGATGAGTCGATCCTGGCTCACCTGGGAGACCAGGAGCAGAGGGGCTACCCTGCTTAATCGTGGCCGCCCCAGATTACCTAGAGGTGCCCAGGCAGACGGGTTCCCAGCTGTCTACCCTGCTAATGTAGTTTTGGGTAATACTTAGAATTGCCTGGAAACAGTTAGTGGGAAAGGTGAAGTCCCGGAGCTTGATGATAGGTCAGTCACATGCTCGGTTCCGGTGGATTTTAGGGGAGCCCGGCCTCTTGGGCCAGAACTACTTCCACCTTCCCCAGGGCAGAGCTGGCCCCTTAGCCTTTGGGTTGCTAGTGTTTCTCCCTGGGGGCAAGTCTCTGGGCCTTAGTGATGACTGAGAAGTTAGATACTGATACATGGGTTGTGGGCCTCCGGAGAAATTTAGATAAGTGGACTGTGGGCCTCTGATTGTTTCTTGCCCAGAAAAATGCTACAGGCAGGCCTGGTGGGAATTATTTTTGCAAGGATAAATACATAGAATATTCCCCTATAGAAGGGATTATCAAGTCCTTTACTTACCTTCAAGATTTGAGAAAGGTAGGACAAACCAGATTTGGGTGCCTAAATATGGAAGGGGATGAATGGAGAGGGTAAAAAAGATGACTCTCCACCGAAAGTGAACTTTCCTTCCACAGAGTTTTCCTTGATTTGCTGCTTTGGTGGGAGGTGGCTGGGAGGGAAAGTGTAGTCTTGGTATAATTTTTTTTTTTTTTTTTTTTTTTTGGTACTGGGGATCGAACTCAGGACCTTGCACTTGGCAGGCAGGCGCTTGTGCCGCTGAGCTATTTCCCTGGCTCTTGGTTTAAATTGTTTTAGGACTACATGCTAATGATTTCTTACTTAAAAGAGCTGCAATTATCTTAACATCTTTCTGGTATCTGTTAGTACTTCTTTGGATAGCTATAATCAAATAACATGGCTCAAAACTTATCCCCAAGTAAAATGCTTGTTGGTTTTACTATTTTATATCTAGGTTGTTTAAATAAAGAAACTTGTGTTGATTTCATCACACATTAATTAGTTTTTATTTTCTGCCTCAAGTAATGGCTTCAAAATATGGAAAAATATACGTTGCACAAAAAATATATAGCATTCTACAAGCAATACTTTTCATGACATTAAAAGGGGAGGAGCATTTTTAAGGAGAAATTTCTTCCTTTTTTAAAACTTCTTTTAATTGTAGCTAGTTTTCTTCCATGGAGGCAAGAAGTTATTAAAAATTTTTGCCAGGCATGGTGGTACATGCCTGTAATCTCAGCACTGGAGAAACCAAGACAGGAACTTTAGGAGTCTGAGACCCGCCTGAGCTACATAGCAAATCATTGTCTCAAAAAAACCAAAAAAGAAACAAATTGTTTTTCCTCTGTCATATCATAGCAGACACCCTCCCCCCACCAGTCTGTTGTCTTAAGCAGTTCTTTTCTTGGCATTGGTAAAAAAGAAAAAAAAAGATATTGATGCCCTTATGGCTTTGTTGGAGGAACTTTCAATTCTTGTGGGTAGCAGAATCTGTCTACCATTGGCCAAGATAAAGGATGGATGGTTGGCTGCAGAGAACTGCTTTAATAATAGTTGCTTTAGCTGATCCACACTGGTCATGTTACCCATCTACTAATGAACGTGTTTCTCCTCAAAGTCACTAAATGAACCTTCTCATCTCAAGGAACTGCTGTGTCAATACATTTCTTTAAACAAACAAAAAACTCAAGCACATGGCTTTTAATGACAAATGGCCATGTCCCAAGAAAATCCCGTGGGGAAAAGAATTACATGAGGCTTTGGTCATTGACATATGTTGCCTGTATCTGAGGTTTGCATTTTGCTGTGTGCATGGCCTACTTCTAATTTGGAGGCAAACTTAATTTTTTTTTCCTCATAAAAATAGTGGGGGCTTAATTTTTCCCATAGAATTTTTGGATCTTAAACAGTGAAGCACTTGATTACTGAATACACAGATGTGGGTTTGAACTTGTGCAAATCCAAGTGTGCTTTTAAAGCCTGCAGTTTTAAAGCCTAAAGTTAAATTTAAACTCCTGGCCAGGTTGGGGTCAGGTATGGGAGTTAGTCATGTCATCTTCTCTGTGTTTTTGTGTGTTTTGTGTATATGTATGTGTGTGTGCTTTTTTTTTTTTGGTCCTGCTTTTAGTGGATGAAACACTAGAATTGTTTAACAGTTTAGGCTTTAGCTTTTAATGAGAAGATGAATGTTTGCTTTAAATCGGGGGAGGAGAAATTGGGATGAATACTTGGCAATCCTCCATTCAGAAACTGATCAGCACAGTCACATGTTGTGAAATCACTGACTTTTACTATCCTTTTTTATATGGGAAGAGTAGGACAGAAAAGACTTTTCCCTTTGTCATCATTAGGCGCTGGCTGAGGCACTGATACAGAAAAACAGATTAACCAGAGAAAAGCTTACAAATTTGTTTTAGTTTTATGTGACACGAGAGCCTTCAGAAAGTGAAAGCACACAGAAACTGGAGCTCCTGTGCACTTTTATGCTTGGTTGCGATGAAGAATGGACAGTCAAGAAAAAATAAATGGAATCACTAAAGGGTCTGACCTAATGGTAACAAACTTGGTGGGGGGGGGTGTTTAGATTCTGTGTGTGTTACTGTGTCTTCAGAGAGAAGGATGTCCTTTCCCTGCAGATACAGGGAGGCCACCTCTGGAATTAAAGTTGTATACCTATGTCCGGGAAGAAGAACTCAGAGGAGGTGAGAGTGGCTTTCTTGCTTTTGCTGTTTTCTTAAATGCTAAGTTGCCGAAGCATGAGGGTGCATGTCCAAAACCCTCAGAAGCAAAAACTTTATTGTCATTGCGTGTGATTTGGCTATTAAAATGTGTCCACAGTAAAAATTTAAAGCAGCCTTCCCTTTGAATATACAAGTATAGTTTAATTTTAGAGCTTAGGTTTTTTAACCGGGAAAATATTGAAGGCTGAAGATGTATTTTTGTTGTTGTTGTAGAATTGTTGGTGAGGATGATGGAGGGAAACTTTTTACTCCTGAAGAATATGAAGAATACAAAAGAAAAGTTTTACCTATGCGCTTACAGAACAGGTTATTTGTGAGCTGGCGGTCCCCAACAGGGATGGATTGCAAGCTTGTTGGCCCAGAGACACTGTGTTTTTGTACACATAGGTAAGATATTTTAATTGCTATTTCCTTCCTCATTCTGTCTCCCTTCCTTTATTCCTTCTCTCTTTTCTTCTTCCTTCTGGGGATTGAACCCAGGAACTTTGCACTAGGTAAATCCACAGACCTCCTTTTTTGTGTGCGACCATTTTGCTAAGTCATTAAGTTGCCCATGCTGGGCTCAAACTTGCAAACCTCCAGCTTCAGCCTCCCAGAATCCTAAAATCTTACAAGCAGGCACCACCATGCACAGCTCTCATTGCTATTTTTCTGATGAATAGAAAATAAAAGCTGTAGTAAAACATATCCTCTTTCTGTAAATAACACTGTGATCATTAAGAAACATTTAAAAATAGGCATTTATATAATGTAGTAAAAATTTTTAATATTTTAAGAAGTTATTAAAAATTTTTGCCAGGCATGGTGTAATTTCAGTACTGGAGAAACCAAGACAGGAACTTCAGGAGTCTGAGGTCTGCCTGAGCTACATAGCAAGTCATTGTCTCAAAAAAACCAAAAAAGAAACAAATTGTTTTTCCTCTGTCATATCATAGCAGACACCCTCCCCCTACCAGTCTGTTGTCTTAAGCAGTTCTTTTCTTGGCATTGGTAAAAAAGAAAAAAAGAAGATATTGATGCCCCTATGGCTTTGCTGGAGGAACTTTCAGTTCTTCTGGGTAGCAGAATCTGTCTACCATTGGCCAAGATAAAGGATGGATGGTTGGCTGCAGAGAACTGCTTTAATAATAGTTGCTTTAGTTGATCCACACTGGTCATGTTACCCATCTACTAATGAACGCATTTCTCCTCAAAGTCACTAAATCAGCCCTCTCATCTCAAGGAACTGCTGTGTCAATACATTTCTTTAAACAAACAAAAAACTCAAGCACATGGCTTTTAATGACAAATGGCCATGTCCCAAGAAAATCCCGTGGGGAAAAGAATTACATGAGGCTTTGGTCATTGACATATGTTGCCTGTATCTGAGGTTTGCATTTTGCTGTGTGCATGGCCTGCTTCTAATTTTACTACTGGCTCACCATTGTAAGGAGCAAAATGACCAAACTGCTTCATGGAAAAATCACTGAATTTATTACGTGTTTTTAGGCAACAACTCTTTAACTTTTCATTCTAAGGGAACCATTGAAGGGTAGACTCATGAGAGACTCACTGAATAGTTGCTGTTTACAGAGTTGCAGTTTGGCAGGTGTTGTTAGGCAGGTGTTAGGATGAGTAATGCTGTACATAAACTGACCTTAAATTTCTGTAGCAACCTCAACTGGTAACACTGGAGAAACAGAGAATGAGGGGTGTGTTGCTATTTCAGAACTGAAGAAATGTTTGGAAAATGTGTGATATCTTTATAATTTATTTTTATAAGAATTGAATGCCAGTTTCTTATCTATGTTTAATTTTTGTAGCATGGAATTGACGGTTAAAAACCCAACTCACCTTTGATAGAGAAATTTCTCTGTAGTACTTGTCACTCATGAGATCTCTATCCAAACTATTCCCCGCCCCCCGTTATAAAAGTGATAGGTGGGAGGTAGGAGGATTGAAAGTTTGAACCTATGCTGGACAACTTAGCAATTTAGTGAAACCCTGTCTCAAAAAAACTGGGCAAGCGAGGCATGGTGGTGCACGCCCATAGTCCCAGCACTCGGAAGGCTGAGGCAGGAGGATTGTTGCAAGTTTGAGACCAGCCTGGGCTACAAAGTGAGCTCAAGGCCAGCTTCAACTGCACAGCGAGACCCTGTCTCAAAAAGACAAAAAAACCCCAAAAAACAAAAAACAAAACATGGGGGCTGGGGATTTAGCTCAATGGCACAGTGCCTGCCTGGCAAGTGCAAGGTCGTGAATTCAATTCCTGGTACCAGAAGAAAAACACCAAAAAAACCAAAAAAACAGACCAAAACAAAGGGCTGGGGAAGTAGCTCAGTGAAAGGCCCAGGGTTCAAGCCTTAGTACAGAAAAAAAGTGATATCTGATTATTCAGGAAAATAGGGGAATAAATAGAAAAATAGAACATTGATTGCCCAAAGCCAACTGCTGTTAATACTTTTTACTTTATCTGTATAATTTTTTTTTATACAGTTCATTTAGTTGTTAGTTTTGTGTTTGTATAAAATCTTGAGCTACTTTTTCATGGTAGTCACAGAAATATGTTTCCACACTGTTATGTAGTAATCTTAAACAAAGTTTTCAATACGTGTTTGATACACCAGCTGGTCTAGTGGTGTTCATCTTGTGTGCCCTGGATCTGTGAGCAAAGACTCAGGGGATGCTCTAGGTGGAAGGACAGGTTAGGGAAAGGGAGGCCAAGCTCCACTTCTGCTTTTGTCTATTTTATATGCAGTATTATGGTTCTGTGAAAGTTTTTATTTGAAGAAAGGGTTTTATTGCTAACAAGCTTGTACACTATCCTGTAGCAATTTACCTATTCCTGTGTGTGTGTGTGTGTGTGTGTGTGTGTGTAAATGGAACAATTTTCTTAGGGTATATATTCCAGAATAAACTTTCTGGGTTGAAGGATGGACCATTTAAAGTTTCCTGCTGTATTAAATGAATGTGGTTCTTTTATAAGATTTGACAGCCACTATATATAGTTATAAATGATAAACTTTTGTAAATGATATAATTATGATTAAATAGTTAAAAAAAACTTCTGACTAAGTGAAAAATGGAATGTCATTGTTAGTTTAACATGTGTCTTAGATCAGTGTTAAGATTAAAAAATATAGTATTATTTTACTGAGTAGCACCTATGAGAAGAAAGCAGATTACCTGTTTATTATTTGTGATGTTTTAATAGAACTTGACCTTTAAATATATGGATAGTTTATTTTAAAGTCAAAAGTTAAGAAATAAAGGCAGGCACAGTGGTACCTACCTATCATGCCAGCTACTCAAGAGGCTGTGGCAAGAAGATTGGAAGTTCTAGGTCTGGGCAACTTATTGAGATTCTGTCCCAAAATAATATAAAAAGGGCTGAGGATGTACGTTAGTGGTAGAGTACCCCTGTGTTTGATCTAGCCTACCTAAAAAAAGAGTTGAAAATTAAATTACATTACAACGACTCACGTTAACACATGTTTATTGAGCTCCATTTTAAAATAGCAAACTATGAAAATAAATGTAAGTAATGCATTTGATTAAAAGATGTTTTTATTCAGAATTTTTTCCATACTTGGGGTATGCATCTATATTAGTCTGCAATGACAAGTATTTTAAGGGAATTCTATTTCTCTGTACTATTGTGAAACTTCTTAAATCAGTAGAAATTAAAAAGAAAAGTGAAGATTCCTTCTGAATAAAGTTGACAGAAATGCTGCACTGGGGGAGTTTATTTTCACCTTATTAACAAATCATATCTGATGAATAGAATTTGATGGAATAGACTTGTGATTTTTTTGGTGATACCCACATTGTCTAATATTTCTTGTTCTCCCCACTTTTTTAGGTATAAACAACATAAAACTGATTTTGAAACAATTCCACAGCAGCGCCCCATTGCCCTGCCTTGCCGCGTGAGTGGCTGCCCGTGCAGGGCTTACCATTACGTCCCTCTGAATGGTACCCAGCCCATTCGCTGCAGGTGCAAACACTTTGCGGACCAGCATAGTGCTGCGCCTGGCTTTGCATGTAACACATGTACGTCACATTATTATATATGTGCAGAATATTTTCATATGTAATATATTTAATGTATCTTCGTACCACTTTATTCAGCTTCATAGTCAGGTATTAAACAACTGAACAAAATTTACTGGATACTCAGAGTTATAGTATGCTTGATGATCAGAAACTCCAGTGTCATATAATTCAAATAACTTAAGTAATAGATTTTTAAAAAATTAATATAAGCTTTATTGAGATGTAATTCACATGCCATTCTATTCACAAAGTATACAAATTTAATATTAAAATTGTTGTCTGAAATATTTGAAGTCAAACCAAGAATTACATCACAATGAATTTCAATTAATATGATTGTCTTGTTAATAACATAAGCACTATCATATCAGCTTATGTATGAATTTAGAATATCATTTCATCTACTACCTACTAGAATGTCAATGGTACAGTGATTAACAAAAGGGCATACAGAGTAGCCAGAGGAATTTAACCACTTTCTGGAGAGGCTGTCTGTCTAGACCTAATCTAGACTAAGTAACTGACATGAACTATCAGAGTTAAAAGTTAACAAGTTTATTTTGAAAACATTAAGACTTTTAAATATTCAATAGCATTTGACAACATCCAGAAACATTTTTGGGTTTTAAAACTAGGGTTGGAGGTACAATTGACCCATCAGGCAGAAAGCAAGAATACTGCAAAATATCCTATAAAGGGTATAGAGGAAAGTTCTCCCCACAGCAAAGAATTACCTGGCTTCAAATGGCAAGAGTGCCAAGGCTGAGAAAGCCCATTTTAAACTGTCTAAAACATGGTTCAATTTAAAACACTACCAGCATAGGAACTTGTTAGTAAGTTACACTTTCATCACACACCGTCACGGTATTTAATAACAAGTTTGCAAGGAGCATTATGTGGGAATTATAAGACTGGCTTTCGTGCCAAAGAGACCAAAAATAGAGTTTCAACCAATTTTAAAAGTCCCAGCCTAAATTGTAATGCCAGTAATAGCCTCTCTGTTAGAGTGGTGAAGAGAGTTAAATTAGAAAAATTTTCTGAAGGGCTTGGCACTGAGACTCAGACTCAGTAAAATTACAATCAGTAATAAATATGTTAAAAGGAATGTAGGTTTCGCCAGGTGTGGTGGCACACACCTGTAATCCCAGCACTTGGGAGGCTGAGGCAGGAGAACTGCTGAGAATTCAAGGCCAGCCTAGATTACATAGTGAGTTCAAGGCCAGACTGAACTACAGAGCAAGACGCTGCCTCAAAAAACAAAACAAAACAAAGCAAAACAGCAGAAAAGGAATGTAGGTTTCTTCTACTATTCAATCCAATATTTCACCAAAACTAGATTTCTGACAAAATTAGTAATTTACCTCCACTGGCCCTATCTTCTGGACCTAAAATATCCCTGTCCTAAACCCTGTGCATTCTAGAGCCATGCTCATCACTTCTCTGTGATTTAGAAAGTGTCTTGTCTTCATCTGGTAGTTCACCTCTACTGGAACTCCATGTTCTACCTATACGCTCACTGGGCCTCTTATATGTGGTGGTTTCCTTCTTTGGTCTTGGAGATAATTGAGGGTGATTTCCTGTAATAGTTGCCTTTTTAGCTGTTAATGACAGACATGCAGAAGTGTTCTGAAATCCTTCTCCACACTTGAGCCAAACCTCAGCAAGGGAGACAGCTGCTCCTTCTGTCCTGAGACCTGTTCTCTGGGGCTGTAGCGACTTTTCTTCTGGAAAGGATGGGTACTGTGTCTCACTTCCTCTTCCTCTTGGGATGTGGGTGCAGCCGCCATGGAGTGTCTCCTGCACCTGCTGCCGCCTCCTGGTGCGCACTGACTCCGTGGTCTGATTCAGATTTTAAATAATAGGAGCTTAATCAATCAAAAAAGATTTCTTTCAGTCCTGGGGATCAAACATATAGGCCTTGTGCCTGCGAGGCAAGCACTCCTCCCCTGAGCTGCATCCCCGGCCCTCAACTAAATTCTTTACAGATTTAAAAAAGAATTTTGTAAACAAAAAAAATCGAGCCAATATGATCCTCAAAATTTTCTTTTCTTTTTTTTTTTTTTTTGGTTTTCCTTCGGTATCGGGAACCGAACTCACGACCTTGTGCTTGCCAGGCAGGCACTTTTGCCGCTGAGCTAAATCCCCAGCCCCTAGTCCTCAAAATTTTCAGATTCTCTGATTCTGAATGCTCCACTGGTAAAATCTATGCAAATATTCCAAAGTCCAAAAAAACTCTTAGGGGGCTGGGGATTTAGCTCA